TTCTGATCAGAATGAAAACATGTGTCATTTATTACCATTATGAAAACATCATGAACTGACATCCGGTGTGCATAATTTTATCACCCTTGAGAAAGTAACACATATTAATAAGCTGGATTTATCAATCCCATTACAAAATTCAACCCAATCTATCTATAAGCAGTTCTATTTTTTAACAGGATGTCCTTTTAACTACTTCAGAAAATGGGGTACCTACTCTTAGTTCCAGGAAGACTGAACTTTCAAATGCAGACAGTCTTCATCATACAAGTTTGAACCATGAAATAATTATGTCTTGTATTCAGACATCAACTATGGCCAACACCAGATAAGTTTGGCATTACCTTCATATCTTATTTACATATTCACATGAAGAACGATCAATTTATATATAAAAAAGAAATGGAAGTAGAGGTGGTACAAGGTTATAATCTGAAAGATTTTTCAGTTGTAATGCTGTAATACAAAATGCCATCAGATTTGAAGAAAGATGAAATGTACTATCATCAGAAATCTTTGTCTGGAAAAGCTTGGATAACACTTGGACATAAAACTATCTTTAGATATCAGCTAAAAGACCTCTCAGGTAATAAGCTAAGTAGTATCAGCAAGCAGTAGTTGAGCAAGCGCATATACCTTCTGAAAATCAATCCCAGGGTACACAATGTGACAATTTGATAGCTCCCTAATCTTTTCATCTATTGCCTGGTAAGGAAGTAAAGTACACAAGACTATTTCAGTTATTTAAATTGGTGATTGGAATATGGTCAATAGGACCTGACAGAAATCTAGTAATAAAACCATTAACAAAATACTTTCAGCAGAGAGTTCCAAATTACACAGCACCAGCCTGTCCTACCTGTCTCTGACGGCGTATCATCGTTGATAAATCCGTATATGGAAGCTTAGGGTCAATTTTACATTCCATAAGGATCCCCCCATCATAGTCTTTAATATATCTGCACGAAAAATAATACTCCTAAGCCATAGTTCAATATAGTAAAGTAAGAACTTCGAACATCAAGACATTCTTTGAAGAAAAGGGCATTTGTTGTTGCCCCACATCAGTCCACAAGTGTAATCTGATTCAGAAAGAGACAAGAGAAAGTGAAACTATCTACTCAATCCTATGACATGCTGCAAGAATTTGTCCATTATATTATACATAGCATTTACAACATCAGCTTTCCAGGTTATGATTTTTGAAGAGGTTATAACTCAGAATATATGAAAGAACAAAAACATACCCATGCCATCTTTCTTTCTCCAAATAAATTTCTTTCGTGAAGCCCTGAAAATGGTATAAAAGTTGGTGTAATCTTATAAATGCTATCGAAAACTAATTTTGTCTCAGTCACGCAAATTTTATACCCATACCTGAGAAGACCATGAACAATGAAGGCTAATAAAAGAGTGTTTTTGGAATAAATATGGGAAGTCCGTTGAAATACAGTCAAGAAATAAGGCAAACAAATATTGTGAAATAACTAATAGAGCTCACCTGCTTGACAAAGTAACCAACGGCATTATTATCAGCATATGTGAGGAAATGCGTCAAGCCATCTACATCTCGTGCATGCTGTTTTAAATGGTTCATAAGTCGGGTACCATAGCCTTTAACTTGTTCATCTGATGTAATTGCACAAAAAGCTATCTCCCCGAATTTTTGGCTACACGTAAAGTTCGGTATTACAGATACAACAGGGATACACACAACAGACAGTTCAAATCCGATAAACAATATGATTATCTAACAGGATGAAAATATTAAATATCCTGTCGTTTCTTTTCATATATCTAAACTTACATAAAAGCAAAATTCAAAAGCATTATAACAGCACAAAGTTAAACATTGTTACAGGAGGAGTCAACATTATCTAGATATGTATGTTTGATAACAGACTAAGTGTAACCATAGCCTCAACAAACACATACAAGAGAATATGAAAATCCAATCTGTGTAGCTGGTACCATCATA